AATAATATATGTCAATGGATTTGCATAATGGATTAAGGTTTTGCTGTTATTGTTCTTTAAGCTAGTTCTGGTGTAAATGATGGACGATGCTGATGTTTTGGACAATATTATCAGAGCTTATGTTATCCAGAAGTGTGCATTAAAAATTTATTTCACAAATTCAACTTGAGACCTGTTCTGATCACATTGTTTCGAACCGGTTATCTATCTGTCTATTTGTTTATCTATTTAACTACATTAATGTATTCTTCAGTGAAAATCTCTTCATCGATGTCTAATATTACCGGTAATGAATTTTAGGATATATATTTCATCCCATTTTGGATTTGTCGGCTGGATGTACCTAAATCCTACTGAGTTCGGATAGCCAACAACTTGTAAAACAATTATGGTGTTAGATATTTTAGTAGCAGTTTGAATGTTTATATTGTTGATATCAAGGACTGTAATCAAAATCAGTGTACAGGTTCTTTCAGCTGATGAGTCCAAAATAGGGCGAAATTGGCATCGTGGATTCCACTGAAGGTTACAATCCATAGATTTGACGTACTTATACATATGCATCCCACATTTGAGAAGTTTTTCAGATTCATTAGAGACCGTACATGTTCAGTTCAATTCAATTTGTCAAACAGAAAATGTATAGTTTTTACATATACCCTTTAATTTCAATAGGGGGTCAGTTCAACCACTATCTTTGTGATTGTTATATCCCGTGGAGAATTATGAATGGTAACTTTGAATACTATTTATGGACCAATGTGATATGTATATTTCCTAATGCATAACTGTTAAGTAACTAAACCATTCGTATTCGTGTTCCTCTTATTATAAGCTTTATTTTGACCCATAGACTATTACTGTACGATTTGCTATTCTTGAGTTATCCCCAGTCTATTGATTACTATTCCCCCTTATTCACAGCCACATTTGGCTGGATATTGTACAAATGTTATTTTCTATTTTATGTTACGATGTGGTCAGTTTGTTTAATATATAAACCCAGAATGTTTGAGAATAACGATTCATAATTCAGAGGCTGTTATTGGTGTTCTGGACTTAACTGGTTGGGCTACGCAGAAAGCAGGATTGGTAAGTGCTCAAGATTGCTCATACGACTTTTGTATATCATTGGGCGATCAATAAATTCACTCCTCTCCAATTGGCGGTCTTATCACGTTCATATATCAAGCAGGGCGCGCCCGCATACACTCGATATAACAGTGATCTATCTCTGATTTACCGATAAATTATATAATCAATGCTGAGGGATTATCCATGCATAAATAGTTATTGAATGAATAAACGTATTTGATTTAATAAAGATTTATAATTAAACTAATATGAAATATACATGGAAGAAATAACACAAAATAAGCCAACAGATATAACTAGTATATAAGAACTGAATAGAATAATTATTTAACACAGTTAGTTGTAACGTTTAAGTAGCAAAATGTAAGCAGGAATAAGAAATATCATTGAAAATTCGTTGTTTTATAAAAATGTGAAATCATCAGTTAGTGCACTAGACATTAAAATTTGTTTGACAAAACCTTAGAATTCTCAATCATTAATTATAGGTAATTAAATGGATCCGTACATCAGTCACTCACATAGTCTGCGCATGTCTCATAATCAACAGTTTAAATGTGTAATGGGTTTCAGGAACGTTATCGTCACTGTATGCGTAACTGTTAAGTTTGTATAGTGTTCCTCTACTTGGCTCAGAATTTCTCACCAGTGAGTATAAGTCTTCATATTCTATAAAAATTTCAAAACAAAGTTTTATTATTAAACTTTTGTACTTAACCTTGGTTTTTCTTTATCCAAGACGTTAATTAATCAGTCGTTGTTGCCATATATATATCCCGAGAGGACTGAATTATCGTTGGTTACTTTAAGAGTTTTGGTAAACTATAAAGGATGGCTAGTGAGGGAACCGATAATGCATGTTTCGTCTCACCTAGATAACTCAGTGTATAGCACGTCACATATTTAAGCGAAATGTAATGGGTTTGAGTGCCAGTGTAGACATGAACAAATGAATGTAAGTGCATCCAGCTGACGAGTCCCAAATAAGACGAAACTGCTTTACCTGATTACGATCTTAGCCATAAATCATATGCATGGGAACTGTTTGCCAAAATTATTCATCAGATTCAATCACATGTTTAATTTCAACATTTCTCAATGTTAACAATTGCAGCAAATATAACATTTAATACATTTTGGAATAAAACTCACATGTCATTTTCACTACTCAATTCTCTGACTCATTCACTCTGTCTTCATAGTCAGAAGGAAGTTACTACAAATACTCTGTCTATTAAATCATTCCAATCAATGACTCTCAATATCATTCACTGATTTCAGTATTGATGTGTTTAGAAACACAAGAGAGGGAATGACTAGTCGATTAGAGTGTTGATCACTCGTTTACTTGATCATGTGAAAAATGTAAGAACTGTTCTGAATATCGTCAATTTATCATTCTACTTTCTGAATAACTGAATTTTTGTTATTTTCTTTACAGTTCTAGACATAATTGACTGAATATTTTATAAAATATGAAAGTTTCGATAAAACTAGGCATTCGATATCATAGTATTCTTACTAGCTAGCATAATAATAATAACGATAATGAAACGCAGTGACGCTATATAAAGTACTAGTTTGTAACAATTCTTTTCAAAGAATAAGATTGAACTAACTAAGTCAACACTAATCGTCTTTTTATGATTTTAATTGAATGAACATCGAATTTTGTTGTGAAATATCATTTAGATAGTGATTTACAAATAAATGAATAGCAACTTCCTAACTAGATGATTTCTGACATTAAATAGGGATAATTTACTTGTAAAATCTCAGAAAATATCTTCTTTGAAAAAGCTTGGACCAGACTGCTAAGCGAAACATTGGGTTAGAAGCCTACCCAAAGTTTGTGCTGATGATGTCGTTCAGAAGGACGATGAAAGCTCCACCACCAAACCATCCATCTCAGACAACAAAACTCCATCAGAAAGAAAAGTTGGATTTTTTTACTTCGAATTCATACGTTGAGATTTTACACATATATTGTTCCTATTTAATGTCTTACATCAACTTGGCGCTCATATACTGTGAAACTATTCGCTCTAATTTAGCTAAACGTTCTTATAGATAATTTCTGTTATGATATAAACATTGAACATTGAATATTCAAAATATATCTAGCTGTTTCCGTGACTGTTATTGCTTCAATATCAACACTTTCTGAAGTTGACTCTACTCGAGATTCATCGGTACTACTTTCGTCATCGTTATGGATCAGTGTAGAAGGGGTAATATCTGAGTTAACAGTGCTTTCTGTTTGATTTTCTAAGTCTTCTGAAGTTGGACCAGTCGACTGTGTGTCCGTGTAAGTACCGAACACTTCACAAACGTCACCAACAGCTTCCATCAAACGAGGCAGTGTATCAGCGTCTTTAGGGGTTTCTGTGTGGTTATCAAGATTTTCTGAGGTTGAATCAGATATAACTGTTTCTGTATGAACAACATCTGTATGGTTTTCACCAATTGCCACAGTATAAGTGTTTTCTGTATGATTTTCTAAGCCCTCTGAAGTTACTTGAACAACACTATCGTTCTGAAGAGTAACAGTTTCTGTCGTCAGAGTGGTGAGTAAATCAGTGTTGTCAGTGCTATCTGATTCGTTGTCAGAAGTTTCTGCCGTAGATTCCGGAGGATTTGAGGTTAGGTTAACAACAGTTTCAATGTTAGCAACGCCAGCCACGGTTGTCGACTCCGAGGAATTCGAGCTAGAAGTTCCTTCTTTATGACTGTCTTCATTTGTGGTTGTAATCAGGCTTTCCTCACTTTCTGTAACAACGTCAGAAACAATTGACGACTTTACTTCTTGTACGGAATCAGTATTTTCGACGGGTGAAGTTCCTTCTGTAATACATTTTGAAAGAAAACGTTTGTTGAAATTATTCATCAGATTCAATCACATGTTTAATTTCAACATTTCTCAATGTTAACAATTGCAGCAAATATAACATTTAATACATTTTGGAATAAAACTCACATGTCATTTTCACTACTCAATTCTCTGACTCATTCACTCTGTCTTCATAGTCAGAAGGAAGTTACTACAAATACTCTGTCTATTAAATCATTCCAATCAATGACTCTCAATATCATTCACTGATTTCAGTATTGATGTGTTTAGAAACACAAGAGAGGGAATGACTAGTCGATTAGTGTGTTGATCACTCGTTTACTTGATCATGTGAAAAATGTAAGAACTGTTCTGAATATCGTCAATTTATCATTCTACTTTCTGAATAACTGAATTTTTGTTATTTTCTTTACAGTTCTAGACATAATTGACTGAATATTTTATAAAATATGAAAGTTTCGATAAAACTAGGCATTCGATATCATAGTATTCTTACTAGCTAGCATAATAATAATAACGATAATGAAACGCAGTGACGCTATATAAAGTACTAGTTTGTAACAATTCTTTTCAAAGAATAAGATTGAACTAACTAAGTCAACACTAATCGTCTTTTTATGATTTTAATTGAATGAACATCGAATTTTGTTGTGAAATATCATTTAGATAGTGATTTACAAATAAATGAATAGCAACTTCCTAACTAGATGATTTCTGACATTAAATAGGGATAATTTACTTGTAAAATCTCAGAAAATATCTTCTTTGAAAAAGCTTGGACCAGACTGCTAAGCGAAACATTGGGTTAGAAGCCTACCCAAAGTTTGTGCTGATGATGTCGTTCAGAAGGACGATGAAAGCTCCACCACCAAACCATCCATCTCAGACAACAAAACTCCATCAGAAAGAAAAGTTGGATTTTTTTACTTCGAATTCATACGTTGAGATTTTACACATATATTGTTCCTATTTAATGTCTTACATCAACTTGGCGCTCATATACTGTGAAACTATTCGCTCTAATTTAGCTAAACGTTCTTATAGATAATTTCTGTTATGATATAAACATTGAACATTGAATATTCAAAATATATCTAGCTGTTTCCGTGACTGTTATTGCTTCAATATCAACACTTTCTGAAGTTGACTCTACTCGAGATTCATCGGTACTACTTTCGTCATCGTTATGGATCAGTGTAGAAGGGGTAATATCTGAGTTAACAGTGCTTTCTGTTTGATTTTCTAAGTCTTCTGAAGTTGGACCAGTCGACTGTGTGTCCGTGTAAGTACCGAACACTTCACAAACGTCACCAACAGCTTCCATCAAACGAGGCAGTGTATCAGCGTCTTTAGGGGTTTCTGTGTGGTTATCAAGATTTTCTGAGGTTGAATCAGATATAACTGTTTCTGTATGAACAACATCTGTATGGTTTTCACCAATTGCCACAGTATAAGTGTTTTCTGTATGATTTTCTAAGCCCTCTGAAGTTACTTGAACAACACTATCGTTCTGAAGAGTAACAGTTTCTGTCGTCAGAGTGGTGAGTAAATCAGTGTTGTCAGTGCTATCTGATTCGTTGTCAGAAGTTTCTGCCGTAGATTCCGGAGGATTTGAGGTTAGGTTAACAACAGTTTCAATGTTAGCAACGCCAGCCACGGTTGTCGACTCCGAGGAATTCGAGCTAGAAGTTCCTTCTTTATGACTGTCTTCATTTGTGGTTGTAATCAGGCTTTCCTCACTTTCTGTAACAACGTCAGAAACAATTGACGACTTTACTTCTTGTACGGAATCAGTATTTTCGACGGGTGAAGTTCCTTCTGTAATACATTTTGAAAGAAAACGTTTGTTGAAATTATTCATCAGATTCAATCACATGTTTAATTTCAACATTTCTCAATGTTAACAATTGCAGCAAATATAACATTTAATACATTTTGGAATAAAACTCACATGTCATTTTCACTACTCAATTCTCTGACTCATTCACTCTGTCTTCATAGTCAGAAGGAAGTTACTACAAATACTCTGTCTATTAAATCATTCCAATCAATGACTCTCAATATCATTCACTGATTTCAGTATTGATGTGTTTAGAAACACAAGAGAGGGAATGACTAGTCGATTAGTGTGTTGATCACTCGTTTACTTGATCATGTGAAAAATGTAAGAACTGTTCTGAATATCGTCAATTTATCATTCTACTTTCTGAATAACTGAATTTTTGTTATTTTCTTTACAGTTCTAGACATAATTGACTGAATATTTTATAAAATATGAAAGTTTCGATAAAACTAGGCATTCGATATCATAGTATTCTTACTAGCTAGCATAATAATAATAACGATAATGAAACGCAGTGACGCTATATAAAGTACTAGTTTGTAACAATTCTTTTCAAAGAATAAGATTGAACTAACTAAGTCAACACTAATCGTCTTTTTATGATTTTAATTGAATGAACATCGAATTTTGTTGTGAAATATCATTTAGATAGTGATTTACAAATAAATGAATAGCAACTTCCTAACTAGATGATTTCTGACATTAAATAGGGATAATTTACTTGTAAAATCTCAGAAAATATCTTCTTTGAAAAAGCTTGGACCAGACTGCTAAGCGAAACATTGGGTTAGAAGCCTACCCAAAGTTTGTGCTGATGATGTCGTTCAGAAGGACGATGAAAGCTCCACCACCAAACCATCCATCTCAGACAACAAAACTCCATCAGAAAGAAAAGTTGGATTTTTTTACTTCGAATTCATACGTTGAGATTTTACACATATATTGTTCCTATTTAATGTCTTACATCAACTTGGCGCTCATATACTGTGAAACTATTCGCTCTAATTTAGCTAAACGTTCTTATAAATAATTTCTGTTATGATATAAACATTGAACATTGAATATTCAAAATTTAATTGTCATTTTTCAAGGATAATATAGAAATTTGTTGTCTAGGTTATTTTATATTATTACTGATATGTAGCGAAGATTTAGAATCTACAATATGTCACCAGATGATAAATATTAAAAGAAAAATGAGGAAGAGAATATTCTTGATAGAATCAGTTTAACAATCGTCCATTTAAAATAATCTTACCTATAGTCAATGCTTTTAATAAACCTGCATTCACATAAGTGAATAAGCATAGGACAGATAGCAATTTAATATTGATGACCATTGGAATGAATTTCTTCTAATATCTTAAATCAAATGAAAGAAATAGAATTAGATAAGTTGAATAATAGAAAAATAGTATTAAAGATAATGTTATATTAAATAAATGACATCATTTCAATAATACTGTAATGAACAAATCACTTATACATTAGTTTGATATGATTAGGTTAAATACAATATGCCTACGACTGACAGTCATCTTGTTAAATTGTTATACAGTGTCAATAATAGGGAGATTTATTTGAGAATCCCACATTTATTCTTGATTAATTATTCTAGTGAGTGTCTTTTGGAAGTCTTTAAATGGTAAACTTTATTCAAAAAAAAATTCACTTAACGTTCATCTTTGTTCAATAGATTCTTATGGAAATCGTCAAAGAACTATACACGTCTATCAAACATAATTGTTATTCAACAACATCAGTCACTTTCTTCTGTTAACTTTTAATGGAAACGAAATATCCCAAAATGACGATCGTCAATATGGTGATGTAACACATGAATACGCCTGAATACTATAAAAAGTATACTTATGTGCTCTTTTCATGATTTTAACTAAACTGAAGGTAATTCTCATATTACACTAATATTATTAAGACAATTGTTTGGTGTTAAAGCTAAGTAGAACAATTAGTACATAATTGAACTGACAGCCTAAAGGTTTAATAGCTAATTAAACTATTCTACGTATTTTGTACAGATTTGAGTAGATTCTATGGATATAACTGTTTGAAATGTAGATTTAGAAATGATCGAATAGCTTGGGAGGATATCATTTTATACAAGAAATTATGATATTTAAATTAGTGGCAAACTAATAGACTAGTAGAACAATTTATATAAAGTGTGGTTTTGAAAATACTAAATTAAGAAAAGTAAAACAATTTGCTAATACACGATAGCATCGAAATCCTTTTTAACAGTTATCTTAATCGAATATATTGATCAAAAAGATGGAATATACTTAGAACCTTGAATTTTACAAGATGTTTAGAATTCATACATAATATATAAACGGTTAAATGTGTTATTCTAAAATGATCTCTATGATTGAGATCATGCGATCATTTGAATCCATGGAATGAGGATATCAACTAGTGGTCTTGGCTACAAAACATTAACTGTTATTCTATTTGCATGTTAACATAAATTAATATTGAATCGAAGGTTCACATTTCTAGAGTATATAGATATATATTTGAACATCATTTAGAATAAATGTATTTTATGCGGTTTTCAACATTTTACTTCCGTTTCTACCATATGGAGTCGGTATATTATAGTGGAAGTAACGTTTGCATTTATTCTCTTCAAAGTTTGACTTATCATTTAACCATTGTGAAACTAGAATATAGTTGAGTGTCTGTAAATGAGTCAACAATAAGGAAATGATCATTTCAACTGATTCCTATGTGGAGTAGTCCTCGAGAGTCTCATAATATGTATTATAATACTATACACTGAAAATGCCAAATGAATATTCAACTTACCAATAAGATAATAAGTGCAATTTGAAATAATGAGCTAAACGAGGATGATCAAACGTTTATATTATGTTGCTACGGGCTACCATTGGTTACTTATCAACCAATCATAATAGCTGTAAATTGTTTCAGGTCCTTATACCAAATATAGTGCACGCAAGGTCACAATCATTTTTTTACTATACAACGGGGCTCATTGAGACTTTAGTTCAGTGTGAAATGAATCCAGCATTATTCATCATAATTATGGAATAGATAAACGAAATAGGTTGAAAATTAACTCTGTTTGTTCAACTACATTACAAAACCCTTAGCACAAATCAGATATTACTACAAACAGTTTTCTATTTGTTATAGATTTTAATTGTGTGACTTAAAAAAACAACAGATTTGACATAGGTCAGCACAACATTGATTACCTGTCATTTATGTTAAAAACCAGTAAAAAAAGGGTTTCAATCTGTTCTGCCCCTACTTTACCTCTATTGATTGAAATATTTATTATAGTGATTAATTGTATATAAAAAAACACATGAGTAAATAATGTGGCCAACTGTAGTAACAACGAAACTGAATTGCTTGATACTAGAAACTATTATCGTTTTCATAATGTAAATTAGAACATGGAAATTGGTACAGATGATGATTTCTTACTGACCCTTGAAAATATGTTTACATTTGTTGCCACAGTATATAACTGAAACTGGATACTGGAAACCATAAGTTTTATGATGCAAATATAAAGATGGAAACAATAGATGAGGATTTATTTGACGGTGAAATCAAAAATTGAAACCAATATTTGAATAAGTCATTAAATGAATTTACCCTGAAGACGTCTAGACACATTTGATGGACGAAACGTTGGAATTATTTTGAAATTTCAATAGCTGAGATTAATTCAAATACAATTTTTACGTATAATAACTACACAAATATTGCAGAATAATATATAACAACTTTCGTCTAAATTAATTAATTAAATCAATGACTCTCAATATCATTCACTGATTTCAGTATTGATGTGTTTAGAAACACAAGAGAGGGAATGACTAGTCGATTAGTGTGTTGATCACTCGTTTACTTGATCATGTGAAAAATGTAAGAACTGTTCTGAATATCGTCAATTTATCATTCTACTTTCTGAATAACTGAATTTTTGTTATTTTCTTTACAGTTCTAGACATAATTGACTGAATATTTTATAAAATATGAAAGTTTCGATAAAACTAGGCATTCGATATTATAACATTTTTGGTGGCCCTTTTTCTGACTCCAGTCTGATCGCATAAATGATCGTGATCGAATGATCGCTGTTGAAATATATATCCTAATTATTCTCGTATGTTATCATCGACTTAACTCGCGTTAGTGAATAACGAAATTATTCAAGTTAAATACGAGAATGAATTTCGAATACGTGTATTACATACAAACGTTGATCCAGACAAACGATCAAAGAAACAATGCGAAGAAAGTAAAGTAAAAAAGCGTGAAGCGAAATAACGCGTGGTAGAGAAGGAGCGTGAGCCAAATCTTCTCATTGATCCATCTGATGGATCAGTCCATTATGGTTCAAATTATCATCATATTCTCATTATTACATTCTTTTCTTATCATAACCGAATGTGGAATTATTATCACAGTTTGTATTAATATACATTTCATATATTTTCAACATTTTACTAGCTGCTCGCACACCGAACAACCTGCAACCTGCTAAGTAAATTGGCTGTCTAGCGACACGCACATGCACATGAATTTTCAGTTCAAGCAGTCAAGCGAACCTTCTGCATGCTTATAACGGCAGGGTCTCAACTACCCTGACGCTGGCAACGGTTAGCAACTCTATTGTAGACATAAGTTTGAAGTCATACTTCCGGTAGTAGGAACTTATTTTCTCTAGCCACAACTAATGTTTATTCATCTCATTCCTACTTTGTCAACGACAATCTGAACCGAACCTCAGTCATTTTGTGTTTAATCGAGGATCCTTACTTTAATGTATATGTACACACTAGATATTCGGCTCCGCGTTACCAGCCGATTAGTAATGATTAAGTTCATCTTATCTATTCGTTCATATGTATAACTTCATGCTGTATTATCCAGTACTCATAAACATTATTCAATTACTGCAAATAATATTCTATTCCCTTCATGCTGTATCTCAGAACATAGAGTTCAAAGCTGGT